TAGGCCACAAAAAGAGAATGAGTAAATTCAGAGAGGCTGAAATTGTGCCAACCAGCTTCTCAGACCAGAAGGTATGAAACTAGAAATAATTTACACAAAGAAAACAAAAAAGCCCACAAACACATGGAGGCTTAACAACATACTCCTAAACAATCAATGGATCAGTGACCAAATTAAAACAGAGATCAAGCAATATGCATAAACAAATGAAAACAACAACTCAACACACCAAAATCTCTGGGATGCAGCAAAGGCAGTTCTAAGAAGAAAGTATATTGCAATACAAGCTTACATCAAGAAAGAAGAACAATCCTAAATGAACAGTCTAAATTTACAATTAGTGAAACTAGAAAAAGAACAACAAATGAAACCCAAAGTTAGTAGAAGGAGGGACACAATAAAGATCAAAGCAGAAATAAATAAAATTGGAAAGAATAAAACAATTGAAAGAATCAATGAAACAGGAGCTGGTTCTTTGAGAAAATTAACAAAATAAATAAACCCCTAGCCAGACTTATCAAGAAAAAAACAGAATCAGAAATGAGAAAGGAAAATCACTACAGACACCATAGAAATACAAAGAATTATTAGAGAATACTATGAAAAATGATATGCTAACAAACTGGAAAACCTAGAAGAAGTGGACATTCTAGAAAAACACAACCTTCCAACTGAACCAGGAAGAAACAGAAAATATAAACAGACCAATTACCAGCAATGAAATTAATTGGTAACCAAAAAACTACCTAAGAACAAAACCCATGGACCAGATGGCTTCACCACCGAATTTTATTAAACGTTTAGAGAAGATCTAATATCCATCCTCCTTAAAGTTTCCCAAAAGATAGAAGAGGAGGGAATACTTCCAAACTCATTCTGAGGCCAGCAGCATGCATATACTAAAACCAGCCAAAAACACCACAAAAAAAGAAAATTACAGACCAATATCCCTGATGAACATAGATGCAAAAATCCTCAACAAAATATTAGCAGATGATATGATATTGTACCTAAAAGACCCTAAAGAATTCACCCCCAAAACTACTAGAACTAATAACTGCATTCAGCAAAGTTGTAGGATACATAATTATCTCATAGAAATCTGTTGTATTCCTATGTACTAATGATCAACTAGCAGAAAGAGAAATCAGGAAAACAATTCCATTTATAATTGCATCAAAAAGAAAAAATACCTAGGTGTAAACTTAACCAAGGAGGTGAAAGACCTCTACCCTGAAAACTATAAGACACTCAGGAGAGAAACTAAAGAAGACACAAATAAATGGAATTACATCCCATGCTCATGGATAGGAAAAATTAATATTGTCAAAATGGCCATCCTGCCTAAAGCAATCCACAGATTCAATGCAATCCCTATCAAAATACCAAAAGCATTCTTTAACGAACTAGAGCAAATAGTTCTAAAATTCATATGGAACCACCAAAGACCCCGAATAGCCAAATCCTGAGAAGGAAGAATAAAGCTGGGAGGATATGCTCCCTGACTTCAAGCTCTACTACAAAACCACAGTAATCAAGACAATTTGGTGCTGGCACAAGAACAGACCCACAAGTCAATGGAACAGAATAGAGAGCCCAGATATAAGCCTACACATACATAGCCAATTAATACATGATAATGGAGCCATGGATATACCATGGGGAAATGACAGCCTCTTCAACAACTGGTGTTGGCAAAACTGGACATCTACATGTGAAAGAATGAAGCTGGATTACTGTCTAACTCCATACATAAAAATAAACTCAAAATGGATCAAAGACTGAATATAAGACATGAAACCATAAACCTCTTAGAAGAAAACAGGCAAAAACCTCTTGAACGTAAATATGAGCAACTTTATCCTGAACACATCTCCTCAGGCAAGGGAAACAAGAGAAAAAATGAACAAATGGGACTACATCAAACTAAAAAGCTCTGTACAGCAAAGGACACTATCAGAACAAAAAGGCATCCTACAGTATGGGAGAATCTATTCATAAATGACATATCTGATAAGAAGTTAACATCCAAAATATATAAAGAACTCACATGCCTCAACACCCAAAAAGCAAGTAAACCTGATTATAAAATGAGTGGAGGATCTAAACAGACACTTCTAAGAAGAAATTCAGATAGCCAACAGACACATGGAAAGATGCTCCACATGGCTAATCATCAGAGAAATGCAAACTGAAACCACAATGAGATAACACCTCACACCAGTTAGGATGGACAGTATCCAAAAGACAAGGAACAACAAATGCTGGTGAGGATGCAGAGAAAGGGAACCCTCCTACACTGCTAGTGCAAATGTAAATTAGTTCAACCATTGTAGAAAGCAATATGGAAGTTCCTCAAAAAAACTAAAAATAGAAATACCATTTGACCCAGTAATTCCACTCCTAGGAATTTACCCAAACAATATACCAGATTCAAAAAGACATATGTCCACCTATGTTTATTTCAGCACTATTTACAATAGCCAAGATATGGAAGCAACGTAAGTATCCATCAATATATGAGTGGATAAAGATGTGGCATACATACACAACAGAATATTATTCAGCCATAAAAAGAAAACAAACCCTACCATTTGCAACAACATAAGTAGAGCTAGAGAGTATTATGCTCAGTGAAACAGGCCAGGAGGAGAAAGACAAGTATCATATGATTTCACTCATTTGTGGAGTATAAAAACAAAGCAAAACTGAAGAAACAAAATAGCAGCAGACCCACAGACTCCAAGAAGGGACTAACAGTTACCAAAGGGAAGGGGATGAGGAAGGAGGGAGAAGGGGATTAAGGGACATTATGATTAGCACACAAAATATAGGTAGGTCACCAGGAATCACAGAGAAGACAAGTAATGACTCTGTGGCATCTTACTACACCAACAGACAGTGACCGCAATAGTGGGGAGTAAGGACTTAATAATATGGATGAATGTTGAAACCACAATGTTGTTCATGTGAAATCTTCGTAAGATTGTATACCAATGACACTTGAATTATATATATATATGTATATATATATATATATGTATATGTATATATATATATATGTATGTATAATAAGTTTCTAAAAGAAAAAAGAAAAGAATTCCTTCTAGATCTTGTTCTGGGTATTGATGCTCAATGACAGGGTGGACTACCCAAGAGTACCTCAGAACCCAGGGCTTCCTGGCACCTCCATCACATGTGGGCAAGAGGAACAGAGGAATTAAAGCAGGTGGCCTTCAAACTGGGCAATAGTGACAGTCCCGGTGGGGGAGGAAGGGAAAGCCACCAGTAACACTGAGAGTGGGAGATGTACTTGGTAAAGATGCTGCCAAACCCATTTCAGGTGCAGGGCTTTGTACTCACTTTCTCTCTACCCAGGAATGGTCTCCCCAGGGTCTCCAAACAGCTGGCTTCTTCTCATCCTTCAAATCTCATCTCAAAGAATAATGTCAGCGAGGTCTTCCCTGACCTCTCCAAAGCAGAATCTTCACCTCATCCCAGTCCCATTCTTAGTTTCTTGTGGCTTTCTGAAATTATCCCGTTTCCTTGGGTACTGCTTGTCTTCTCCCACTAAGTTTTTACGAAGGATTACCGTTTCCTTAGCACCAACAATAGTGTACCTGGTAGATGCTCAATGAACATTTGCTGAATGAGTGATTCCATCAGTGGACCCCACACTTCAGACAACCTCTATGCCTTTCTTAAGACCTTAGTTTCCTCAACTGTGAAATAAAGATGATAGCTGCCATGACTTCTAAATTCTCCAGAGCTAATGTTCTGAGATTCAAAGCCAGAACTCAACAAACTTTTTCTGCAAAGGACCTGATAGTAAATATTTTAGGCTTTGTTGGCCATATGGTCTCTGTTGTAACTATTCATCTTTGCCACTGTAGCAAGAATGCAGCCACAGATAAAATGTAAACAAGTGGGTGTGGCTGTGTTGCAATAAAACTATATTTACAAAAACAGGCAGTAAGACCCATTTAAGTCATGGGCTGTAACTTACCAACTCTTGTTCAGAACAACTGCATTTCTTGCCATTCTCTCAGGTGGTGGCTGCTTTATCTCCCAAACCCTATGTCCCTACTGTCAGTTTCATTTCCTCCTACTTTTCCCTTGAAGCTTGTGCCATCAGATTACACCACTCACTACCCCTCTTTGTTGCCATCTATGGACTCCTTGAACAACTTAGCATCTGGTGCAAGTCCTCTCCCTTCCCCCAAAGCTGTTCCTGCCAAAACTCTCAGTAATTTGTTCTATGAAAATAGTCTTTCCAATATCCTGGCCTCTTGTCTCCTTGACTTTCTCACTTCCTGTGATCTTGTCTTCACCCCTCCACTAGCAGCTCACGTGGTTATACCCCAGACTCTGTTATTAGCAATATCTGCACTTTGCTCCTTATAAAGTATTCTCCACACAGCAGCCAGGTGGTTCCTTTTAAAACACAAATCAAAATTCTACAATGCTTCCCATCTTACTAAGAATGAAATTCAAACTCCTTGTCTTGATCTGAGTCTGTAACCTGAGTCCTAGGAAACTGACTCACCTTCTGTTGCTCTGCAGCCCTCACTCTGCTCCACATGCACCACCCTCCTTGCTATTTCTCAAACAAGCTTGGCACTCACCTGCCTCAGGACCTTTGTACCTTCTGTTCCCTATGTCTGGAACATTCTTCCCACAGATATCTACTTGGCTTTCTTACTTCCTTCCTGTCATATCACCATATCAAGGGGCCTTTCCTGGTCATCTTACCTAAAACAGAACATCCCCAACTCCATCACTCTCTATCCCCCTTACCCTGTTTTATTTGACTTCATAGTACTTGACAAAACCTGACCTATTTTGTTCCTTTTGTTGTTTCTGGAATATAAATGCAGAATCAGAACTATGTCTTACTCTGCTGTATCCTCAGCACTAAGACCACATTGCATTCTAATACAGAGGTATTCAATAAACATTTTCTGAATTTGTAAAACCAAATCCTTGTGGAAGCAACTTACCCTCTTTCAGCGCTGCTGCCAATAATGAGGCTGCTTGGGGAGGTTCTCCTGGGTCAGGCTTAATGAGCAGGTGGGGCTCTAGGTGGACATCCTCAAACCCACTCAGTTCTCCAAGTTCAGCATAAATATGCAGCTTCTCCTCCAAATATGCACAAATTTGTTGGTCTTGGTTACTGAGTATTTCTATGAAATAGTGATTACCATAGAAGGTTATCACATGAACGCAATAACTAAAATGGAATCCAAGCGATAAGATACAGATGATACTCATTAGCACGCAGTATGGTCTAACAAATCAAGTACAAGAGGTTGGGGAGGACATACCCAGATTCCATACCTAACTATCCCACTGGGGGAATGGAGCCTTAACAACTCTGACCTCCCATGGTCTTTTCTATAAATTTATAGTACATATAATGGGTGTTCATTTCCTTTCCCATCCCAATTCCAGAAAAACTTGCAAAGCAATTCTTTGCTCAGGTTGTTTTCTATTAAGACTAAACATTAAGCTCAGCAATGAAAATTGAAGCAGCTCTGTCCCTGATGAGCAATGCCCCAGCAGGGAATAGAAGGCAAAGGCCTCGAACTACTCAGGCTTCAGCTAGTCTTGGCCAAAACCAAACAGGCTGCTTTATGTTTACCTCTCTAAATATCCAATTTCTTTGACCATCTTTGCATGCATCATTTTCCTCTGATTTCAATATGTCCCAGGATTTTTATAGTTTAAAGGAACCTTAACCAGCATCTTTCTAGATCTGATTAATCTCAGAGTCTCAGTCAGCCCCAGATTCTCACAGGGAGAGTCTAAAATCCTGCCATCTAACCCACCTCCCACACATTCTGGTGAACTGGTTAAGGGTGCATCAGAAACTTAAAATCTCCCAAAGTGATTCTGATGTCCAGCCAGAGATGAAACTCCCTGGGCTGATTTCTTTAATTCATGGACTTGGAAACCGAGGACCAGAGCTACTAGGCTCTTTGCCCAGAGTCATAGAGCTGTGACCTGACCACTAGGACTGACATGAAACCACTGGACACCAGCTACCAGGCCAATCGGCACCACAGTGCCCACAGTTATTGTTTCATATAATTTATGTGCAGAGGGGTTTTGGGGGGAAAAAACCTTAATGTGTTTTAATTACTGAGAAAGGAGGGAGGCAGTCGCCCTATTTGAGCACTTCCAGTGCCAGTAGTTTATTTTTTTGAGAGCAATCAGGGTGGGTCTCAGATATGCAGAATTAATCCCTGGGCTGCAACCCCCCATTCATGGAGCACAGGCTTCCCCCAGCATCCCAGGGGAGCACCATGACCAGGCACTCAGAGGTGCCTGCACTGTACCTTGACATTGCTGAATTTTGGCCACTCTTGCTTCAGCTTTCCGCCTGTCTTCATCAGACTCACTTGTCCTTCCCCCTTCTTCTTCTGGGCAACTTTAAAAGACAACAGTCAAGAGAGACAACTGAAACAAAAATCCTAGTCTCTTTCGATTCATTAGAAAGACATGGGAACTTGACAGTGAAAGTATCTAGAGAAGAAAATTTCAGCATAGAGAATTCATCATGATCCCTGGCCATGAGATTTGGTTTTCTTGAGTATATAAAGGACCTGGTGTGATATAACATAGCCTTCAAAGTGAGCATGGGATGACTCAAATATGCTGACACACATACACAAACATACACTCATGTACACACACACACACATTCCACAATACCAGTGCCAGCATTAGGTACAATTAGAATCATTTTTGCTTTCTGCTACATTTGGGCATCTCTTAATGGGGCAGAGTAGAGGGGCTGGAGGGGGCAGAGGCAGGGTGCCAGATTGGGTGGGGTGCACTGGACATGGAGGAATTTTCTAAATCATTCTAGATCTGATTAATCAAATTTTCATTAACAATGATCACCATCACACCCATGTTTATAAAAACTTGCCCTTGCATAAGTAATGAGGAGTATATTGACTTAGAACACTTAGATCCACCAATCTCAACGTTTATTGAATGATTCTTCAGAATTAGGCACATACACTAAGACATGGTCCCTGCCCTCAAGGAGCTTCCAATCTAATGAACATATATACATAAAGAAGATCATAGATACAAGGAAGCATATGACAAGCACCAAAAAATGCTTTAGAGAGCAGATGTTAAAGAATTTCAGGCAAGGAAGAGACCACTGCAACTGAAGAGGTCTTCATGAAGGAGGTGAGCCATGAGCTGCACCAAAGATGGGTGGGATTCACACAGGCAGAGGGCAGATGGGGGGTGCAGATGAGGGCTATCACAGGTGGGTGAGGGGGGCAGGGAGCAGACCTTTCTGGCTGAGGCAGTTTTCATGCAGGGGAAACATGGTTAGAATAATTTCCCCAATTGAACAAGTCCAATCCAATTCCCTAGTGTACTGACAGAAGAAAATGTTACCTTTCTACTGCCTGTTGGATCCTTCTCATCCAGTTATTTCGTTCCTCCTTGGAGTTGGTATGAATTTCATACATCTCAGGACCGGCAGATGAAGCGCTGATTAGAAACATCCCTCTCTCCTCATTAGCAACTTCTCGAGCAATTAGTTTCTGAAGGGAAATAACTGATGGCTTCTGATCCTACATAAAAAGAGAACCTGCAGATGAAACAGCCTCCTATTGAAAGTGAGGGTCTCATAAAACATCACCTATGGAAAGCAGTGGTATTAGACAAATCAATTTCACTTCAACCTTTTCCAAAGAGCTGTGGAAGTGGAGGCCTTCTCCAGTGGGAAGGGTATGGTGAGGAGAGGATGGGAAAGGACAGGAGAATGTCCTGAAGAATTGGTGGCTTAAAATGACAACTTTTAAAAAGAGAGGGCAATCAAAGCAGTAAGAATACCAAAATGCCATAGCCAAGGGTGGAGGGATTTTTCTAGGAGGACATGGGATGAGAAACAGTGTACCAAACATTACCAAGAAACTGAGAAGGATGGGAAACCTGAAGAGCCCATTGGATTTTGCAGTACCAAGTACCTGGTACAAATACCAAGGAGTGGACTGTGAAAAGGAAGTACAGAGTCAGGAAGGGAGACCTCTGATCCCCAGGTACGACTATGTCTCTGCCATCGGGGCGCAGGGCACAGAAACAGGACTCCGGTATTTCCTCTGGTCCCTGCAAATGCCTCTTCTCCCCGCCATCTGGGTAAGCCCTGGGGGTCAAAATGGATCTAATTCATCCTCATACGCCTAGCACATTACTTGGCATAAAGTAGGCATTCTATAAGTGTCTGTAGACCTAGATTTAGCACAATTCCATCAGAAGGGAAAGGAAGAAAGGCTAAAATTCGGCCTACAAGCTGTAATTAAATTACCTCTTCTACCAACATCTCCTGTGTTACTTCAGTGTCCCATTCTAAGTACCGGGGATTCAAAGATGAGTAAGACACTGATACTTCTAATTTGGGTAGGTAGCTGTAGTTGAAAGACCAGCCAAAAGAATGTCTGCAAGATGAACAGTTCTGGAGGTAAATATGAAGAATCTTCCTCGGTTTGCTGCTTCTCCCACTGTTTACAGAGTCAGCCACAGTGTGTGCTTGTGCTTCTCCCCCATGGATTGAACGAGGCCCTCAACCAGAACATGCCACTTCTTCAAGTCTCCCTGATGGCTCCCTGGTGCGGGTGCATCCACTCTCCCAGCGCCCCACAGCTGAAGGCGTGTAAGATATGCCCAGAGTGCCTCTCCATCCCGTTCTTCTCCTCTTAGTGAAGCAAAACAAAAACCAAACACTCCACAAAGGAGGACAGCCCCCCTGTCTGCCCAGTGCCCAGCTCTGCCTCTGCAAAGGGAAGCAAAAGCAGTTTCATGGCAAAGCTTCTGGAATATGGCCCACTTCCATTAGGGAGAGCCTCTGAGCCCCAGTAACAGCTGGTATTCCATATGGATCTACTAAGATCTAATCTGCTTTCCTTCTTTCATTGCAGTTTTCATTTCCTCAGGTTGCAAAGTAAACGGCCTCTGTATATTAGGCAGCAGAGTAAGTTTGAATTGCTTAAGACACTAGCAGGCATGAAATCATATGAACCAGTTAGTTAGTGTTATAGGAGGAGGGGAGGTGGTGGGTGACATATTTAAAAAAATAGTTAAGTGGGTAGAAAGCAGCATTAATAAAAACACCAGCAAACCAGGAGGCATCCAGGACATGTCCATCATTATTCATACTGATCATACACAAACACTAAAGGTGATCGAGAATTCAAATGAAATCTCCAGGAATTGAGGTAACTTTGGAGACCATGTCAAACACTCACGATGTAAAACCCTGACTCAGACAGCAGAGATGTCCATAGCATTTTAAAAACAGGTTGTGCCAACATTTAAGGGATTCCACTTTTTTTTTAACTTTAGGTTTATAGGTTCTCTGGAAAAGTTGAAGATTGACAATCCTGGGCCCATATCCTCATTTAAAAGCACTGGCTATAGCTGAGTCATCCCTGCACCAGTTCTCTATAGTCCCTACCACTCTCTACTGGCTCCTTGACACCAAGCCTGCTACAGTTCATTCATTTATACTTCCTGTCCAGTCCCTATAGGCACTGGAATGGACCACCTCTGCCACAGGGGAAGGAAGAGGAAAAGGAGCTGGTCCCTTAGCACCATTGTCACACCACATTCATCTGTGATTCCATAAAGTGGCTGATTTGATTAGTAAGTCCATTCATGATTCTGTTGTGATAACAAGATCTTAAGTTGCCACATATTTTGAACTTGCACTTGCATATCCACATGTTCACTGTCTTTATTATTCATTCATTCTGAAATTATCTTGATGTTCAAGAGATCCTCCTAGACTCAGCATCCCAAGATGTAGTGAACACATCTACTTTTTCCTATTCATTTTATAGATTTGGGTCCTAGTGCCATTTCTAGCTGGGTCCTCTTTAAAACCAAAATTCTCTAATAAGGACACTACTCCATCCTTCTGCTTTTTTCAGTTGCTTATCTCCTGGCCATTTCCAAATTCCTCATGTCTTCTGTGACATGCAGCAAGGTAAACATTAATTAAAGAAGTTTTCCTAACAGTGCAAGGAGCACAGAACCTCACCTCGGGGTATAAGCATGAGGATAACTCTGAAATACTAAGATGAGAACCATGAAATCCAGATATTGTATACCCATATCTAATGCATCGATTAATTCCAGATGTTAACTGTAAAATATTTATGATACATGGGCTGTGTCTGGTAAGTGTGTAGGATGTAACTCAAAAGCATATGCTTGGACAGCAGAGGGTGCTTGATTCTGTAAGGGTAGTGCTTCCTCTTTTGCTCCCTGATGTGACAAGGCCTTGCGTGGCTACAGGGAGGCAGCTCTGTGTCAGGCTAACATGCTCGGTGAGCATCATCACACTGTTGCCTGCAGCCAAGCGCATTCTACCAAGAGGAGCTAAGTTGTGTCTGCCTTCAGTCTGGCATTTGGTGGACTGCATTTCTACCATCCAACTTAATGGTAAATGTGGCCTACAAGTGGCACAGATAACTCTTCAAGAGGTCAGAGCAGAGGGGCAGACTCATATTTCAAGCCAAACTGCAAGTTGAGCATCAAGGCTTGACCTGAATCCATACACTCTGTTGTCCTAGAAAATAAGAGAGCTGTCTTTAGGCTGTGTCTAGTTCTTGATCCATCAGTAGTTCATTTGGCCTGTAATACCAGCCAAGAAGCAGGACTTGCTTCTCTTTCAGGTCTCTGGCTTTGAAGAAACCTTTGATGCTATAAAGGAGTGGTGTGAATGTTCTCTCTTCCAGCATGGTCTCACAGCATCCCACAGGACAAACAAAATGGTCCGCCCTCCCACATAGTTGCTCCGTGTTCTTTTGAGCATCCCACATAACAGCAGAGAGACGTTAGTGCACAAATCAGTAGGCTGTCAAGAAATCACAACACTTACAATCCAAATGGATTGCGGACATGGGGGCATGTTTAAGCATCTTTTTGTTTTCTGGAGTAACTTTGTGAAAGAACCTCTGACCTTATACAACTTGGCATCACTGTGCTGATAAGAGGCAATTTGCAGAGCAGGGTGAAGAAGCCTATTGGTCACCCTCACAAGCACAGACGGCAAGCCAGGCTCTGCTCCCTGCTTTCCTACTCAGAGTCCATCACTGGGCAGGCCTGCTTTTTTGTTTTCTCTGAATAGCGTAACAGAAACTTCATTAAGCTTTGAATTTGCCAAAACCAGATGGAATCAGTGATGTCTGCTAATGGTACGTGAGTATGCAATGCAACAGATGGTAAATACTAGCATTTTAAGGAGGCACCATTATAGTGTCCACGTTGTTACTGCACCTTGAGGTGCATGCCACCTTGGACTCTTGCCTCTGACAGGACCCGATGCTCCATGGTGCTGACAAAGAGTTAATTGATGACATCCTTCCTCTTTAAGTGAGTCATTTTGGACATTTTATAAATGTTATAAAATACTGGTTTTATTGTTAGTCTAAGTCTAACTCAGTGCCAGCAATGAGATTTTTATAACACACTACAAAATTAGTGTTATGTGAATAAACTTGGTAATCATAATCATTATGACAGAAGTAAGGAAGACTCTTCTTTAAACTTTAAATAACAGGATGGTGTTCTCTTGTTTGGCGGAAGGCACATGACAGATTTGAATGGGGTGAAGCAGCCCAGCTGGGAGAGAGCAAGGTGCCCAGTGACCTGTGGCTCCCAGCATGAACATCTGAATCGCTGGGAAGTTGGGAGGCTGAGAGGGGGATGCTAGAGGAAACATCAAGATAGCCAGATGGAAGAGGGCCACTTGGGGGACTCGGGGCATTGCCTGTTCACCAACCAGTACCAAACACCTCAATGTTTGCCCAACCGGTTAAATGGCTGAGCCAGCTTACTACCAGTCTTGGTTGTGATACAACACTTAACATGCTTGTTAACCCAATTAGATGCTTGTTAATGAACAGTGCAATCACTAATAATAATAAGAATATAAAAGGGGCATGCTCTTGCCAATGACCATTTAAATTCACTACAAATTTCTAACATTTTTCAAGGAGATGTGGGATTAAACCATTTATACGCATCACATGGCTATATACTTACAACTGCTGCAAAGATGTATTTCTGGTCCTTTTCTTGTAAAAAGAGCAGCACATCAGTTAGAAGTAGAGCTAGGATATCTTCAAAGAAAAAAAATCATTGATATTAATGAAGCAAATCATAGTTCAAATGCCTTATTAAATATTCTAATTTCATATTTGAAATTGAAATAATTTTTTTTTAAAAAAAGACTAAGATTTGTTCTATTGCGCTTTCATAAAAACATCTGAATTATATCCAAAGATGTATTTCATAGCTAACTCAGTAGACAAGCTGTGTAGATAAGCACACGTTTGTGCGTACACCTACAGGTACAGCTAAATCTCCAGCAAAATTTCATGTCGTGAGCTTTCAAAATGGAAGAAAAATAGCCAGTAGAAAAGAAGTTTCTAGTAGAATGGAGCATGCCCTTACCTTTAAGGGAAAAAAGTAATTAAAACAGAGGGCAGCTTCTACCTTGAATTATATATACAAATCTGTTTTCTTGCATCTAAACTGGAAAGTAATTTGAAATCCTATACTTATAAATTGTCCACGGGAACCCATCTTTACCATACCAATAAACATTCTAATACAAAGTTACCAAACCATTCATTCTATAAAATGGATCACCAGCAAGTGACTTGGAGCAACAGGATCTATGGATTGTGGTTAATATTTTAGTTGCAACATGGCAAGCTGCTGGTCAACAAATCCCATTTCAGTCACTAGTTGCAACCACCATTAAAACTTGAGAGTCCTCCAAAAGGTAATAAACTTTGAGTAATTAGTAACCTCTTCCTCTCACTGCTTGCTTAAGGAAGTTATTAAGTTATATTTTTAAAAAAAGAGAGCAAACCAGTGGTTCTTAGCCCTGGCTGCACACCAGACCCCCCTCCCCCCGCCCCCAGGAGCTTTTATGTACCCCTGTGCTTGGGCTTCATCCCAGACCAATAAAATCAGTATCTCTGGGAGGAGACTGGAGAATCAGTACATTTTTTTAAGATCCAGAGGCAATTCTAGAGTGTGGTCAGAGTAGAGAAAACCTGGATCAGGCAATGTCCTGGCTACATAATCAGTACTTCAGATCTGAATAAACTGTTTTAGACTTTAACCAGATTAATAGAATCAAGTCAATGCCCTTTAGCCAACAGTAGCACAGAGGAAGAGTTTACACCCACAGCAATGTGTATGTTATGGATGATCACTCAGTAATAAAGAGGGTGTTCAGAGTTCAATTCTCCCCCCAATGGTCTGACAGCCTTAGGCTGGGTCGGTGCACAAGTTCTGGGTGTATAGGTGTACCAGCTATACACCCCGCATTTGCTGGAATAATATTTCCATGCCAACAATTAACATAATTCCCTTTTCCTTTTATCCAAACATCACAAACTTGCTAGTTCATAACATGTTACACATATGGCAGCTTTTGCCTAGGGCAGCAAACTCCCACTAAAAATGAGTAGCACTGGCCACATCTGCCTGTTGAAGTTCACATCTCGATCCTACAGGAATCTGTCCATTGACCCAGGGTTCATGTGTGTGACTGCATCTCTGAACCAGTTTTCTTCTGAAAATCTATCCTCTGTTAAATGAATAACATACGAGAGAGAGGAAGAAATTGGTCTATTAGAGTTACAATACCTTTGAAACGACCCGTAGCAGTTTTCCAGTAAACAAGGCCATCATATAATAAAGTCCTTTCTTTACTGATCAGTGTCTGCTTCCTGAACACATGGCCATTTTTGAGCTTTGTATATGTTTTGTTTTCAATCTTACTCAGAATCGCAAGCCATTTTTGGTTTTTCTCATATTCACTGACTTTTAAATCTACTGCTGCAATCATGTCTTTAATTAAGCAAAGAGCTTTGCATAAGTCTTTGTGTTCTTCAGTCCTTTCTGTGCAGGAAAGAAAGAACATAGAATAAGCCAGAGTGCTAAGGAAGAAATTTGTTTCTTTAAATACAACTAAATATATTATACAAATAGCAAAAATTCCATAACAAAAATGTTGGGTTAAATTCAAGTATCAATTATCACTTTGCACTCCTTCTCCCAAAAGGAAGTGTTAAAATACTATAGGAGATTTACTTGTCAGATGTGCTTCAGTTGAAACTCCAGTGTCTGGTATGACCTTCCCCATCAAGCAGAGAATTTGTTACATACTAATTTAGGCCTTCTTTCCAGCTTCCCAGACACAGGTCGTCAAATAATCCCTACACCAACTTTCTTAGAACTTAACCAACCCATGGGTCCAAGTTGGGGTAGTTTCATAAAAGGGAGCTGCAGGGTGATTTGAATGGGCCTCAGTCTCACTGGCCTTCCTAGACCCCTCCCCTCCATAAAATATTCAAAATTATATTTCACAACTGCCTTAGCATAAGGGTGAATACATTAATATTTAAACATTTTTCAACCTAAAAAAGACAGGACCAAGGCACTTGCCTAGCGGGTAAGTTAGCCATGCCCAGGCCGAAAGAGCACATCATTATCGATTCCAGTTGTTATTTTTTAAAACACTGGACACCCGCTCTCATCTCTAAATTATCTTAAGAAAAAATTCTGGAAGAGGTTTTGGAACAGCCTCCTATAACTTCAGATGAAACTGAATTTAGCTCTTCATTCATTGCACTGATACATATTTATTGATTGATTGCCTGTTCTGTGTAGCCACTGCAGTAGGCACTGAAGATCCAGTTGTGAACAGCACAGACACAGGCGTCTGAGATTGCTCAAGGACCTTATAGTCCAGCCACATACATTGACAGCATCTTAAAGGATGCCAGAAGTCACTCCTTGGAATCTGATGAACTGACAGGGTTAAAAATAGCTCCTTCAGAAATCATTCTCAATCTAAAATTCTTTGCTTGAAAGAGCTGACATTTGTTGATAGGATCAATCTTACATGTTCATCAGACTGCCAGCAGGGAAGGCAACAGGAAGATGAGGAAGAAGAGATTTTCAGAAGATCTGGATGTAAGGAAATTGGAGAAGGGAAAGGCAAAGTATGAAGAAGTTTGCTTGGTTTGGGCTGCTTGGAGGAATTCAGACTATTTGCCAAGCTACATTATAAAAGAAAACTTCTCAAAATGGATCCAAATCCTATAGCTTTAACAGTTTTTCTATAGTGAAAAATCTTTCTGAATCAGAGGCCACAAGCATTTATAGCTGTTTACAACACCTTAGCTATGTTTAAAACTAATACAAGAGGCAAAGTCATCACTCACCCTTTGTGTACTGCAGTATCCTTTCCACCAAGACAGGGTACTTTGTAATGCGCTGAGTGACTAGCAGGATACATTCTGGAATTCCTCGGCGTCGAGCCAAAAGATTACTATTTCGGAGCTTAAGAAGAAAAAAAAACATGTATACACACACACACACAAACTGCCAGTATTTTCTTTTTAGGCTGAGTTTAATAAAACAAAGAATCTGTAACAAGTACACAAAGTTAATGTGCATGTTATTATAGAAACTATTCAGCTATAATAACATGCACATTAACTTTGTGTACTTTGTCATTAATTTCAATAACCCAACTCTCCAAGATTTCAAGTTGAAGTTACTCTGATATGCTTGTAGTAAAGTACCAAAGTGAGCAGGTTCCAATACTTATAAATGATAAGATTCATGAAGAGCAAAAGTTTTGAAAAACATGTAGAAATCAAAGTTAGATTTTGAATTTTGAGTTTGTAGTTAACTCAACAAGTCTACCTTTCCATTTGTGATTATTCATCACGGCAAGAAAAGGTCCCTCCAATCAGGACAACTTTTTTTTTCTAAAAATCTCAAAATATTCTTTAAGTTTTCAAGTTTTCAATACACACATACAAGAAACAAAGAAGGAGAATCTGGCAGCATTCTTAAAATGTTACATAAAAATTTAGAATTCTTCAAACTCTAATGGAAAATTTTTTCAACAAATAAATTGGACACCAAAAAAGTGGGTGATGAAATGGGGAGCATTCAAGTTTTTAAAAATTTCAAAGATATAACCCCCCTATAGAGTATATGAACCTTACACAGATCTTGATTTAGGCAATACAATTTTATGAGATAATTTAGAAAATTTGAAAATTTAAGTAGGCCATCATAATTTTTTAAAAGAAAAATTGCTTGGAGATACATATTATACATGAAAACGATATGATGTTAAAATTTTGCTTCAAATGAATCCAGTGGGAGTAGGGTAGAAGCCTTCTACTTTTACCACGGCTCTCTGATACATAACCTGTCAGGGCATGAAACAGCTTCCAGGCTATTACAAAGATACTCAGAAGCTTGGAAGACATAACTTCACACATTTAAGACACAAAAGGAAATGTTTTGGGAGAAGTATTTTACTAACAAAGATACTTTCCACCTTTGTCACAAACCTATTACACTTCCTTCTCCTTTCTTTGAAAAGCAGCCCTTAGGTGTGAAACTCGTTGAAATCATGTATGAAACAAGCATGAGTAAGTGTCGCTTACCAATTTGTAAAAGACTTTTAAATACTTGCCTTAATAAAATTCTGAAACTTTTTATTCTGCTGGAGTTCTTTAAAGAGGCTAACGGCTTCTTTGTGATGGCTACAGAATTCTCCATATATTTTTTTCATTTTATTTGCATTTTCTTCTGAAAACTGAGAGGAATACATTTTAATGACGGTTTACAAACTTAGTCAATTCTAAACACTGAAAAGAACATGCAATTTTCATATGTTTTCATACATTCTTTTTAAATAAAGAATAAACATCATAGAATTTCTTAACACAATCACTTCTTTTCCCCACTTTTTATTAGACTAAGAGAAAGTTGTCAAGAGGTAAGGGAAAGATCAACTGAATGTGATGACATGATGTTGAATTAATTTGATTATCAAAAAGCCAATTGAAAAACATATCTTCTATTCTTTAAGTCTTTGTGCAACTCTGTCATTTCAATTTGTAGTTCCACTACTTTAACAGATTGAAAATAAGGTTTGTGGTAACATGTGGAGGTCCACAGGAAGGTCTGACCTCCTACAGTAGCTAACCGATCATGTCCATGGACTCAGTCCTCAGTTAGGCATGTGATGTTTGTTGTCAATGCGTCACAAATGGATCAAGAGGCAAGTCATCACAAGATAAAAGAGAAAGATGAATAACCAGAATGCCAATTGATTAACTGATAGACAAAAGTAGAGATGTGGGCTGGATATTTCAATAAGCTTGACCTGTAGAAAATCT